CGTGAACCCTCATTGGTTCTTACAATTATAAATATGACGCCTTTTCACGGTATAACGTGAACGCTCATTGGTTCTTACCATTATAAGATCATAACTTAGTCGCCTTTTCTCAGTACAACGTGAACGCTCATTGGTTCTTACCGTTATAATAATGTCGCCTTTCCTCGGTACATCGTGAACGCTCATTGGTTCAGACGGCACCCGCTTTCTATTGAACTCCATAATTGTCTTGTTCCCAGTCTCTTCCGCAAATGTGATGTTCCAGTCATTGATCGCGTCCACGTGGTCTGGGTACTGAGTTCTATTCTTGTATGCTGTTAGATAGTCCTAATATGAAAAGATTATCACTGTCTCTTTATTCATAAAGCGGGAAGGGATGAAGAGTAAGTTTTTGCTTATATTACGATGTATTTTTTTCCAATCATAAACAAAAACTCGAAAGGAGTGACGGTGGGCCATGAACCTTATAAATGTGGATTTTTGCAATTAGTGATTTGCGGCCGTAACTGTCATATTGTCTATTTAACTCATAAATAGCAATGATCTATTATATAAAGAAATAAGATGAAAGTTTGAAGGATACTAATTTCACCTTGATCGGGCTTACCAGAAGCAACTCATTTTTTTGGTTGAAACTGAACATTTTTTYCGAATATCTATTAGATTAGCACCTTAAATGCCATAAATAACAAATATAAATAACAAATGATTATTGAGGAAAGCTAATATAATAAAATCATGGTATAATATTATTATAAAGAGGCAAAATTACTAAAGACCTCGAGAAAACATTCACGAACTTGACCGCCATCTTGGATTTTGGCTGACACGTCTTGTTTGCTTTTTCAACCGCAGATAAAATTAGACTTTATTTTGAAGTAAGAGCGGCTTCTTCATGTCCACCGCCATCTTGGATTTTGGCTGACACGTCTTGTTTGCTTTTTCAACCGCAGATAAAATTAGACTTTATTTTGAAGTAAGAGCGGCTTCTTCATGTCCACCGCCATCTTGGATTTTGGTAAAAGAACATTTTTGTCTTCGGTACAGCTATTTTGAATATTAAAAGACAAGATGACTGAACGTATATATGACATATAGTTCTAAAAATTACTAAAAGACAAGAAAAAATACTAGTGTATTGTATACGCCATCGACCCTCAGGGCTGACGTCATCTTGGTTTTGCCCCTGCACATCTAACAATCTTATCCCCCATTACATAAGAAAGCTGAGGATTTCAACATYCCACCGGTACACAAAAATAGCTTGAAGTCCAAATTACAAGACCAATTCTATTATTAATTTTTTGTATGATAAAGTTTATGCTATCAGGCGAGTGTACGTGGCGACCACACCTGTAATTTCGATCAGTTACTTGACGCGGGAGTTATTATATTTTATGCATGTTAGCGCGGGTAACAATTATTCTAGACTTCCTACTACACAATTACTAAACTACTCTACTGTTTTATGTAGACAATTTCTCTAAAAATAAAAAAAAGAAAAGACGAAAACACGGCTATTCACGTTTGACTTGGATAGGAATACAGCAGCATCATACGCCCGAGAAATTGAATTTGTTGATTTTTCGGCTAAATTATAGGTTCTTTGATATCGTATTTACTTGTACATGTATTTATATAATTTTTTTTATCGTATTTATATCGTTTAGACGCCGCCCTCAAATAAATGCTACATCTGGGACTAAAAATAACTCCTCCTAATAGAGTCCGCATGTACGGGACAGCTTTTACGATGAATAACAAGCAAGACGCAACAACTGTAAGACTCCGATTGTAAAAATAGCTGTTCATATATTGATCCAAKAAGCATTTGGGTGACTTACATCGAAATTGTAAGCCGGATAAATTGCTATATAATTGTATAAAATGTTTTGTCCAATCTTGTTAACACACATCTAATCCGCATTGTTTCCGGGCATGTTTAAAAATACACAAAAATTATCCGGTAATTCCCTAATTTTGATGTTCTGGTTGCTGGAACGAACATGTGGAAAAGATCTGAATTAAGACGTGTTTTTTTGGGAAACAAAGCGATTTATCTATTGTTTCGCATAAGCCTCGTCTTCAGTTTTTCGCCTAAACAAATAGCAGTCAGTCGTACATCGAAAGTGAAACGTTTGGTGCACTTCCGTGGACTTTTTTTTTGTTCTTCAACTGGTCTGTTCAAATTCACCCATCCCTTCTTCACATAGATTAATAAGCAAACAATAAGCAGTTTTCCCAGTGGAATTGAAACTGTCCAGGCAACAAACAAAATCGAAGATTGTTACTAAATTTATTAGCTTTTTCTGGTGAAATTGTAAAAACATGTGACACAAGGCAAGTTCCTACATATGGCAGCAATCGGTATCTTTTCCATGCTCTCTATATAAGGAATATTTTCGCTTGTCCGACATAGCAAAAGTAAATAGGGAGGTAGGACAATGAATCGGGATCGGTCAATTCCCTGCTAGCAGGGTCTCTCTCGTTGAATTTTCCCGAAGAGTAATCTCGACTGCTCCTCGGAAACTACAACGAGAGGACTGTTCAACTATATGGCTAATTATACAACAATATGCAGAAATTATGATCTTTTTTGCTCATATTTCAAGTATATAAAAATRTATATCAGAAGTTATGGGATATCATTGTCAATATTTTTCTAGGCAACTTCAAAAAAGTATTGGTGATGATATCCCATAATTTCTGATATATTTTATATATACTTGGAATATGAGTCATAAAGATCATAATTTCTGCATATTTCTTTATTATTAGCTTTGCGACAATTTCATATACAATCTTCATGGCGCTCTAACTATATTCTATCAGTTAAAAATCGAAATCTGCGATACTTACTAGACAGTAGACTGTTCCATTATTGCCATAAACCCCACCGACTAACACATCATACGAATGCATAGCATCTTTCATCCAAGAACTACTGTATTTTAAACGGGTAAATCCAAAGCTTATCCACCCCGTCGCTTCGACTTCTATCCTAAAATAGAAGGTATCGTTTGGCTTGTCATAAGTCCACTGYACGCTGTATCTTCCCTCGTCAAAACTAGTAGAATTAGTGTAGGTAACTTTAGCGTTTATACARTAAAATAGGCTTGATATTAAAGCTAAATATTGTACGGTTTTCATGTCTTTTTCGGGTCGTTTTCGGGATGTTTTCTTGAACAGACTGACGTCGTCGCAAGTGAATAGCGAAATAGCTGCTGTCACGATGTTGTGACAGAAGTCTATAGACAATAGAAATACGTTTCTTCGTGTCGCAAAGTTCTTTTCTCAGCAAACATTATGATATTATACTTTGTGATATGAACAGAGTACATATTGCGTCAGTTTTGAGTGTGATGTCATAGTTTAAARCAATGTAAATATAACATTGTTTTTATTAAAAAGCGTTTTATTTTTAAAGGTGTACAATACCAAACCTTCCAGTATTAAACTCTGGTTTTCTTCACGCTTTAATTATAAGGGGAAAAACAATAGCTTTTCGGATCAGAAGCGATCAAGACCGAAAAATGAGCATGCTTATCTTTTTTTTTTTTGTCTTTATTATCTTGTTTTAAACTAATTGCAATCAAATGCAGGACAAGATAATGTGTTATAAAAGTGAAAAGATAGAATGAGGTCATTAAATCTGTGAATCAAAATTTTGCTATTAATATGTGGTTTTCCAATATATACAAAAGAAAACAATGTTATTATAGCGTACTAAGCTTTTTTTAGTAAAATATCTATTTCACGGGTTTTGTTGCTACACTTTGGTCTTTGTACTCGATATTTAAGGCCGGCCAATCAAGAAGTTTTCATAATCAAGTACAAACTTAGTAAACGTCTCTGTAGGGAAAACATTAATCGCGAAAAATAAAGAAATATATAAAGAAAGAAAGAAAGAAAGAAAGAAAGAAAGAAAGAATAAACAAAAATAAACAAATAAAAAGTAAAATAAATGGACAATAGATTAGAGTCATTAGAGCAAACGCAGGAAAACCATGAAATAAAACGAAACTAAATACTAACAAATAGCGGCTATTTAGAGACAATTTGTCAGTATCAATGAACCAGAACACAATAAAGATGAATCCACATGGGACCATTTTTCATTCATCTTTATTACGTTCTGGTTCATTGATACTGACAATTTGTCTCTAAGTATTTAGTTTGATTTTATTTAATGGCTTACCTGCGTTTGCTCTAAAGCCGTGAAACAAAACTTGACAAAGCAATTAGAGCGTACTAAGGTGTTTAAAGTGTGATAGTTAAATAGACACAAAAGAAAACAATGCAATTAGAGCGTACTAAGGTGTATTAGTGTAATATCTGTTTCACGATTTCCTTACTTTACTCTACATTATACACTCTTTTAATAAGTCCCGAGGTATTGAATTCTCCGCACTTGACGTCAAATTTATTCTTTTGAAATTTTTACAATACAAAAGGAATTCAAAATAATAAATTTGACGTCAAGTGCGGAGAACGTAATACCTCGGGACTTATTAAAAGGGTGTATAAACGCGTAACCGATAATGTTTCCTTCCTGTGATATAGATAATATAAATCATAGAAAACTGTCCTCTTATGTGGCCTTTATAACTCGTTCTAAAAGAAAAGTGGCGACATTTCGATCGATTGGATGTAACCTCCATGTCACTTCACCTGAGGAAAAAAAACAATGTCTGTTTACTCTCTGGGGAGTTTGTACTAATTGCTTCCGTCGCGAAAAAAGGGAGTAAGGTGAAGCGCATTTCCATGAACTCCAAATGATTCATAAAAGCCTCTGGCTAAATACAACTAAAATACATGTAAACGTGCCACTTTGTAGCGCGCCTCGTGAGTTGGTTAAACTTAGCAGCATCCAGGATGCATTAACACAGCATCCCTGCTTAGCCCGCACTTATTATGGGTAGTGCTTAAATGTATAGTTCATGCACTATTATGCTTTGGGGCCCGCGAGCCATTTTCAGTTTACCGAAAGTTTATACTGAAGTGTACTGTGCGTTTCGAATCCGCTCATATCTTGACCATCTCAATTTTCTAAGCACTTTCAACGCTAATATTAGAGTTTTCAACCATCGGACATTCCTTTTATGGTGATATTTGTCACTAGAAGTATTTTTTATCTATAAAATCTTATCAATAACGGGCGCGCAAAGCATAATGGTGCAAACTGGGCCTTTAATACACGAACTACTCGAGAGAGTGTTTTATACGTACTGTCAATCACAACATAAACGCGTTGTTCAGACATAAAGACAACATTTGCATAGAAATGTTTTTAAAATTCGACCCGGAAAGGATTTCAATGTACAACTTATAATTAACTTATAAATTAAATGTTTTTGATATAATGTATTTTTGCAAATTTATATTGAATACGTAATTATTTAATTTAGTATGATCTATGAAAATGTGTTTGTTGTCTTTTGTCACGTGAGCTGGCTAAACTTAGTAACATTGATGACGCATCCGCACCTCAGCATGTGGGCCCACCCCAGCACAGCCCGCACTGAATTATGGGATAGGTATCGCGTTTAAATGCAAGGCTGGCCCAGAATTGTATGCTAAGTTCGGAATCTTATTTTTATGACGATTTTTTTATAACTGAGCTGACAAAAAGACTAGTACATGTTTTTATACGAACTATCGCGTGACGCTAACGAAACATAAAACATATTATATTGCATTAAGATAATATGAATATGACACGCTTGTTTTGTATCAAAAAGCAATTGTTTTGACGAGAGTATATTTACAGTTCTGGGGTACAAAACTGTTGTCACGAATGAAACAAACCCTTGCCAATTTAAAGTACTCTCTAACCACATTTCTTTAACCACCCCGATCTCCGATTTAGCATTTCCTCTTGGGGACTACAATTCAATTCAATTCAATTCGATTTATTACTATTATATATACAAGTGCTCATGATTCCATTGGCCTACAAATAGAAAAAAAAACTAATCGAGGTAGGCCAATGGATTACAGTTCATACTAGTAAAATGTGCAGAGAAAATGATTGCGTATTGAATAGAAAGGAGTGAGGGAAGCAATTGATTTAATTTGTAAAGATATAAGGTCTTTTAGTATAAACATACTCCACTCGACCTCGAGGTCTAATTGTTAAATAGAGAACATACTCAATCTTGAATACACGCGATAGTACATTGTGTCCGACATTGTAGGTCGTCGCGCTGGGGATTGTATAACTACAAACAAGAAAAGAAAAGAGTTTTAAGAAGAAAAGAAGAATAATTTATAAGTTTTTAAAGCTCATTTTGTTCAAAAATAAATTTATGTGAAAATTACCGCTGAGATAAGTTCAGACCATACGCGATAAGTAAAAAATAAATATTTCACTCAGAAATAAATTTATGTGAAAATTACCGCTAAAATAAGTTCAGACCATACGCGATAAGTAAAAAATAAATATTTCACTCAAGAGGGCGCAGATAATATTCAATTTCTAATCTTTCTGAATTGTTCAAAAGTGGCCAAGGTTTAGCAATCATCATTCCATCCGGGTACAGGCATCAACAAATACAATTTTCCTTATTTATAATTACATTCTTATCAAAATGAACAGCTATAATCGCTCAAAGAATGAAAAGTTCCTTGATTAACATGTCTCAAAGTTCACGAAAACTACCTTTTTAGGAGTGCCTTTGCATCGTGTTATTGCATTGCGAGCGACTAAGCTTTGCGGCTTGAAAAGTACAGTGCTGAAAAGTCGATTTAGAGTCACTGTTAGGCGCAAAAATAAATATTAAATTTAATATACATTTTCTTTTATTTAATTAATTTAATACATTTGTATTGAAATGTTTTTGGGACATTTGAGTTGTTTTCTGTTTATCTRTCCGCCATTTTYCTTGKCYTTTTWGTTTGAGTCWTTCRACTTCCCTGAATTTTGATTGGCCAATAGCATGTGTATGGAGAATTACTCCTTTCATCCTATTGACGATTGAGTTCAATATTGCCTTAAAAAATTGTAGGATTGTTTAAAAGAAATATAATATTTTCCTTGTTATATATAGCTTGATCTAGCGACATTTGATGTTGAGAGATTACTCATAAGAGCTAGAAAACCGCTCATACACCGACTTTCCTATGCTTTCCTATGTGATTTTTTATGCGCTCTCTCGTTTTCTCCTAACATCTCACTTGCTAGATCAGGCCATGTAACACGGAAGTTCATCTTATATTTCTATTCAGTGGTCACCTTGCGCGTTGATATAAAAACTTTCCAAATTCATGTATCACATAGACATTACAAAGTTGTCATGTGAATAGCTTTTCCTGTGTTGATATTTTTTCAAGGAAGAGTAAAAATAACTTAAATTAAACAAATAAACAAAAACAGACGCTTKCACGGGATGACATGCGTATACAACTCTTAATTCGCCACGGTAAAAAGTCGACTTGTGAATTTTGCCTCGGTCGTCACACAGAAAGGAATCAAGACGAGGCGCCGTGCATAAAGCTAACTCATTCGTGAAAAGACAATAGTGTTTCACGATTGACTAAGCTTTATGCACGGTGCCTCGTCTCTATCTTTTGTTTTTGACTGCTGAGGCGAAATTCGCAAAGCAGCTATCGCTGTCAGCCATGATGAAAGGTACAGTGGTATTTTTGATATTCTGCCATATTGGATTTTTTAACATAAACGTTTACTGGGGCTTCTTCGACACTTCGTACTTCTTTCATCTTCTTCGACAACGGTAGGCAAGCGAGCACAAAAAAGCTACAAAAACCTCCAAGTGTGTGGTAATAATAATAACAATAAGAGCAGAAAATAATAAAAGCTTGTATAGCGCGTATTCAACGWTTGTTTTTACATAGGCTAAAAATGAAAAAGCATGAACAATGAATTGCGTTCACTTAACGAAACTAAAGATTATGAAAAATACAAGAATAAACTGAAGGAAAATCATCAAACTTAGAAGAATGAGGAAGAAATTTTATTAAAGTTGTTTCTACAATTTACTTAATGATTTTGTTTGCCAGTTTGCGATGTGGCATGCTCAGGGGGTTCGGTCTTGCTGCGACAGAAAAATACCTGTCGCCTGAGATTTACCAAGCTCAGCTTACAGTGCAGGGAGTTTTAGTAATTACTCATCGTTTGATCGAAGACTGTACTTTGATTGAGGTTTAAAGGGCAACTACCTCCCTTGATTAACCTCTTAAATTCGAAAAAATTCCGTATTGYAAAGGCGTTTTGTACACGCCAAAGCTTGTGCCTATGCCTAAG